TTTACCGCTTGTCGAATTTTTGTATAATAACAGTTACCACACTTCAATCAAAATGTCACCATATGAAGCATTATATGGTCGCAAATGTCGTATGCCGTTATGTTGGCGTGATGTAGGACAGAAGATCCTTGGAGGCCCTAAAATGATTCAAGACACCACCGACAAGATTCAAATCGTATGAGAAAGAATGAAAGCAACCCAAGATCGACAGAAGTCCTATATAGAAAAGAGAAGGCGACCTATAGAATTCCAAGTGGGTGATTTCGTGATGCTAAAGGTATCCCCATGGAAAGGCCTTATGTGATTTGGGAAGAAGGAAAAGTTGAGTCCTAGATTTGTTGGTCCTTTCAAAATCATCCAAAGAATTAGAAAGCAAGCATACAACTTAGAATTGCCTGAAGACTTGGCTGGTATTCATGATGTTTTTCATGTGAGTTATCTGCGCAAATGGCTGAGCATCTACGATGAGATAGTTCCATTATCCGAGGTGAAATTGGATAATAAGTTAAGATATGTTGAAGAGCCTGAAGAAATCGTGAATGAAAGAACAACTAAGCTACGCAATAAAAGAAGTAGAATTGGTGCTTGTCAAGTGGAAACACCATCGAGGCCCAAACTATACTTGGGAGAATAAGAATGAGATAAAAGAAAAATATCCCCATTTATTTTAATCGATGTAATTTCGGGGACGAAATCCTCAAAAGGATGAGGTATTTGTAACATACACATTTTGAAATCGTGTTTTGTAATGAATAAAATTGTGAAATACTCTATGAAATTGAGTGTTGAGTTCTAACAGATGGTTTTTACTAGAAATGAAGTAAAACTATGTTTAGAGTCACTCAGAAAATATTGGAAGTCTTATAAGATTCCAATTAAAAGCCAAATAGTGAAATTTAGCAAAAATATAAAATTTGAAATAAGTAACATTTTATTATTGAAAGTTGTAAATAATCTTGTTAGAAACTTGTAGGCGAAAACCTCGTCGAAATCCGAGTTATAACGAAGAAGTTATGACCAATCGAAGATCCGCGATAAAACTGACACGACGGCGAATGACGTAAAAAGTGAGTTTTTGATAAACTACTTTTTAGCCTTAGTGATCTAAATGAAAGTCTTAGTATTCGTTAAACCGAGAAATTCATTAAAAAGAACGCCACAATCTGACTTCGTATGAGGAAGTTTTGATTTTTAGAAGTTTCAACTTAGCAGTAGACAACTAAAAACTCGAATTTTAGATCGAACGATATTTGACCGATACATCCTAAATGAGAATCTAAGGTCTCGTCATTTGTAGTACAACAGTAAAAAGTCTGACGAAAACGGATGTCGGATGAAGAAGTTATGAATTTTTAACGGATTTTCCTGTCCCGGTCTGTTAAAAATAATAATATTAAAAATAAATTCAAAATTAGCCGATGAAGTCTAAACGAAAGTTGTAGATCGTAGTTTTAGCTACGCGTGCATATAAAGAACATCAAAAACAGCACTCGTATGCGAATGTTATGGATTTTAGAAGTTCGAGGCTCAAATTCCGAGAAATCTCGCATGAATAGTGCCAACCCACATCACCTCGCACGAAGCAGCAACGTATCCGAGACGTGGCCCAAGTCTGAGACCAACGCATGTCCTCTTCTGATTCGCTGGAGGCCGAGGTCCAGTAAGAACTAGACACGTATCGCATCGGTGGCCAATCCGACGCGAGCCACGTCCCGCCTACTAGCCTCGCATCCGGTGCCACGTCCGAGCCTCGCAGCGGCCTCGTGGCCTTCGCTTCTCCTGCCAAATGTTTGAAGCTCGAATGAGCCATGATTCTCCCTCCTGACCGAACCTCGCAGCTACGACGTGGACTCTTCTCAGCCACAAGGACCGAACCCTCGACCATATATAAAGGGAGGCTACGAGCCTTCCCGGGTAACTTTGAAATTTTGACACTTTTTCACCCTAATTCCATATATTCACTATTTTGACTTTCCCCAAAGCCCCGGTATCAATTTTAGCACCCAAAACATGTCCCGAAGCTCCCGAGAAGCTCGGAAATTTTTATCTTTTCGGTTTTGAAGCCCTACCTTCGCAGATCCCGGATTTTAATTAAGCTCCCGATTTTCAACATAGAAAGTCCTATTTAAAGCCGAAGTGTTATCCAAATTACTATTTTAACCCCTGGTTAATTTAAGATGAGTTCAATATATAGGAATAATTGTATGTTATGTGTTATATGTGCTATTTGCTTTTCAGTGTTATTATTCTGAGTTATTTTCCTGTGTTATTTTATTCGCTATGTTTTTAGCAAATGTAATACCTTTGACCATGTGATCAGTGAAAGGACTTAGATTCACATTGGTACTGGTACGTAGCATCTGGCCATGTAGAGTATGTCTCCGTAAGAAAATGACTTCTATTATATGGCATTGGCAAATGGTTAGACAAGACTATAAGCCTGAAATCTAACAAGATGTTAATCAGAAATTGCATGTCTTCTATGCCATTTGGGCCAAAGTTTTATTAATGTATATCAAGCATTGAAAATTATATCTTTGAATAAAGTTTTTGATTGGTATGAACGCTTGTCACATGATTTCACATATATCTTGTTGTTCCTCTTTGCTTCTGCCATATTGATGTATATATATATATATATATATATATATATATATATATATATATATATATATATATATATATATATATGGCATAACGTTATATTGTATCTATTATTGAACTCACTAAGCGCACTACTAGAAAAACAGCCTTTTACGACGCTCATTGCGCATCGTAAAAGGCTCAGACAACGCGCAAATGCGCGTCAAGGAAGACCCTGTCATAAAGAGAGACGACGCACGTTTACGACACGCAATACGTATCAAGGAAGGCCCTGTCATAAAGGAAGACGACGCGCATTCGCGTGTCATGACCTTACGACGCGCGTGTTAATGACACGCAATGCGTATCAAGAAAGCCCCTGTCAAGAAAAGCAATGTCATAAATTAAGATGCACACATTTTTGCGATCGTAAATTTAAATGTTTAAAATAAATTATATATTTATTAATTTTTAAATTAAATTTGCATTTAATTTCTCATAATAGAAATAAAATACCATATACAAAAAATACAATCCATTGCATAATTTAAAATAAAATTTCAAACTCAAAAAATAAAATAAATTGCACAAATTATAATGTCATAAAAAGAATCATTCAAATGTTAAACAAAAATAATACATTGCTAACATGGGTTATACATTCCTATAAAACTAACAAATAATCATACAACTCTATTTCTTACTGGAAAGGAATGCCAAACATGATTACAAGTCTCCCTTAATCTTGATTACTCACCTCCTTAAGTAGAATGATGTTGTTGAGAAGGTTACCTAGCAACAGAGAAAAACACAACACCTCTCCCACAATCGCAACATCATTTACAAAAAAAGGGTTGTCAATTGCTTTCATTAAGACTTTCATTCAATCACAAAAATATTAAATAAAAGGGTGAAAAAAATAACTTACTTTTGATAAGTTGATCTCCCTAAGAGCAAACACAGCTAAAGCATTGAACAAGACCCTATTTCAAAATTTTGTAAATACACAAATCATGATACCTGATACTGGAATACACACTTTGAGACATGAATTAATACGAGTAGATTAACCTGGATACATAGGAAGTAAAGATGGAAGGTGCCAGAATTCCGAGGGCATTGGGTTAGTTCCTTCCCACTCGCACACACCAAGCCAGAACTCCACTTAATCCAGCACCAAAATAAGCCTGCATTCAGAAAGCTGCAGGGGTGAGTCACAATTCAAGAATCTGTTAAAATTTGAGGAATAACAAGTTCAACCAAAACAATATTAGAAAACAGTGTTATATGTGAATCATAACAATGTAATAATTATCAAGGTGCTGGAATACTTGAAATCTAGATTATTTACCTTTTGATTGTAAATCTAAAGATTCCTCATGCACAGATTATGTTCTTGTCAACTCTTGCACAGTGGTAAATTTCAATTTAGCTGGTTTGTCTGTTTTTTTCACCTGATCTTTTCATCTCTATGCATCCTATCTATTTATTCGTTGCAAACTAGTGAGCTTCCATCATTATGTTCTTGAAATCTTGATTGTTAAACTTCTAATTTTGAATCTGAGCTTTTTATTACAATGTTACTATTGTAGCACTTACTTAATGCACACATATTTACTATGATTAGGTTCTTGTCAACTCATACATGATGTTAAATTGAAACTGAGATATCCATTAAATCCACGTAAAATGACTATTTCGCCCACAGTTTTGTATTTTTACTAATTCTTTTGTACATTAACTCACAACAATGAACTTTGAATCAAATGATCCAGACTTCCATTTTACTTCTCATGAACTGTATCGTATTTCTTATTAGGAATCAAGTTTATTGATGTTAAATCAACTCTCTTAACATTTTTTTCCTATCTTGTAGTTTTTACTAGTTTGCTTTATAACATTAATGGTAAAGTAAGACTGTTATCTCCTGACATTGATGATAAAATAAACTTCTAAATTCTAGGTTCAAGTATTCCAGCACTTTTCTTTATAACATTAAATGGTAAAGTAAGAAATAACCTTTATGTTGTTCGAGGAAAACAATATTTGCCTCCATCCGAGATTTGTCATGAAACTGACTACAAAAGAGAAAACCCAAAATTTATTTCACAATACATAAAAAATAAAAAGATTTAACGCTCTAAAAGGTAATTAAAAAATCCATTTAACAACCTGATAGTAGGTTGCTCTGCTTCAAGGACACCGGAAATCAGTTTTTCACCACCAGTGATAGGAGCTAGCCTTGATGCCATTTTATGGAAGAATCTTATCTGTAAAAAGAATAATATATGATTTTTTATTGAGAAATAAAAAAAAATTATAAAAAATACAACTATCATATTAATTAATTTGCGTGTTGGGATACCAAGCGTCGGTGAGAGTCCGGGTTTCCAGCATCCCATCGGTGTAGTTGCTTTAGGGTATGATGACACACAAAAGTTAGTTAAGTTATTATCCAAATCAAATAAAAGAAACTAGTTCTTTTTTTTAAATTTCCATCCATATTTTTATTTGAAATAAGATTACATGTAATGGTAAAGTAAGACTGTTCTGTCAAGTGTCAATATTAAACTTATTAATGTTGTTAGGATCTGAAAGTTTTAAAAGAGTGTTTGATTCAATCATTCAATAGCTAAAAATTGTATTTCTTAAGCAGTAGCTTCAGCTTTCTCTTCATACTCATGTGGTGGCTAAAGGGTTCCGATCACCATACACATTGTCCACACGACCTGTCACACATAATTAACCCAACCATAGTTAATCAATCTTTAACCACATCAATCAACAATTCAGGATTAAAAAAAAAACTTTTTAATTATTCAGATTAAATTTTATCCATGAGAGAGAGACGAACATGTAGTAGGCCAGAACTTAGCTGCACGAAGCCATGTTGTAGGGTAAGCTGCATATTCTCTGGAGTATGGTTTTGTCCACCTATCAGCCATGAGTAGTTGGGGTGGATGAGGTGCTCCCTACAATTTTTTTAATTTCCATCATTATCCCTAATATAACTCTTGAACAAATAATACAAAACAGTCAGAACTTAGTTATTGTTATAATTACCTTGATGACATTGTTGTTGATGTTCACTGTTCCTTTCTCAATTTCTGCTATTTCTTGTCTAATGGAGATCAAAGCATCACAAAACCTGTCCAACTCAGCCTACAACTCAAAAATTCCACATGTTATGTTATATAAAATGAAAGGAAAGGAAAATAACATTATAACTTTTAAAGAAACTTTACTCTTTTTTTTTTCAAAAAATACCTTGCTTTAACTTTCAGTGGGTTCAGTCATTAGTGTTCCTAGAATTGAAAATGACATAGTTAGACCATAAAACCGGTAATGAATCAGACGTTTTGCAACATCTTCTGACTCTATTCCAGCACTTGTCTGAATATGAATATGATTCAAGTTAGTTGCTATTTCTTTTTGACTTAACAAAAAAGATGACTAAATAATATTATATCTTACTTTCAAGGGTCTCAAATCAACGATGAACTCATTGGAAACTGTTCCACTCACACCACGGAAAAGAATGGGATAGTGACTCTGCAATGTAATTAATCCCAAAGGAAAAAAATTGAGAACTTGATAATAACAATAATTAAAAAAAAAATATTATATATTTGTTCTTAATGAATAGGGAAAGAAAGAAATTGAGACCTCAAGACGTTTTGCCATATAGTTTGCATTCAAGATAGCTATACTGTATGCATATGTAAGTCCTTGAGATCCCATCATGGCAATTTATGTATATGATATAGGCAAGATAAGTGTTGAACCCCAAGGTGCTGCTGAAACCGTGCCAAGTGGCTTACTTTGCTCAGGGGCTGGTATGCCTCTAGTGGCAACCTTTAAATCAAGATTTACAAATTAAATTATATAAACTTAACAACATATTACTCTAATTACACATAAACATCAAACTAAAAAAAAATATTGTTTTGTCTTACCACAGGGTGTGAAGGCAAGTAGGGTGCCAAGTGTTTCTTCACACCAATGGGGCCCATTTCGGGCCTACCACCACCATGTGGAATGCAAAATGTCTTGTGAAGGTTTAGATGACAAACATCAACCCCAATCCACCATGGACTTGTTAATCCAACCTGTAAAAAATAAAAACCAAATAATTTTTATATGATGTTTCAATTTTGTTAGCTCCATTAAAACGACACAAGAAGTGTAATGTTTATGTACCTGTGCATTCATATTCTCCAGCAGCTCCAACATTTGCTTGCAAAGAGAAAGAGTCAAATCCGGTTATGGTACACAGAATGTCCCCCAAATTCTTGAACACTTCCTGCAAGATATTTTTTTATGTTGCTCTCAGGTTAAAAAAAAAGTCAACAGAAATATAATTTGGAATTGTAAGTCAAAATTAGAAAGATTTGATTACCTGATACCCCTATGCCTGTTGGGTAGGAGCAAAAGGATGCATATCTGCAAAGGCTGCCATGTTACAGACATCATCTCTGTAGTTGCATTAAGCTTCATGGTGCAAGATCCCAAAGGAATCATATTGTGGCATAATGACAGATCCTTTGACTGCAGCTTACTAATGTATCTTAGTAGCTCATGCTCCGTATGATAACTAAAATAAATAAATAAATAAAGAAGCAGGAAAAGCCTTTTACATGTTAAAAAAGTGACTAGGTTTTGAAAAAAAAGTATCATGCGTGTTGAAAATCAAATGAGTCAAATATGGAGTCTCTCTGACAAGTCCGGAAGGGATAACATCCTGAACCTCTGGTGAAAGTGATGTGGCACTGAATGTCACCTAGAATCAAGAATCAAGATTCTTGATTTATATAAAGATTTGTTATATCAAAAGAAACGACAAACTCATGGGTTTTCCTAAGGCAAAAACTTTAAACATCCTGAACCTCCGCCATGAGAACCCACTTCAGCTGCCGCCGTTATTTCACCAACTCTGGCCATTAGATGTAATCATGTGTTCAGATACGTAATACTAAAGATAGGACTGGAGGCAAGAGCGGATGAACTTGGTTCAGAAAACCAGAAGGGTGATTATGGTTTTCTAGAGAGGGGGAGAGAGAGAGAGAGAGAGAATGCACCTCAGGAATGATGCCTTCAGCCATTGCCCAAGCCAATCAGATACGAAATTGAGGACTTTAAGCACAGTGGGCTGAAAATATCACATATAGCTACAATATAAACAAATGGATCTAGAAGTAAGTAATGTTACTGGTAAGAATAATTAGCCGACAGTCATAAATGATAAATGCATAAAGTTTTTATTTCACTTGAAGAGATTTTCTACTGAGGTGACCTAGATTTGGTTCTTTGTGATCTGAAATATCAGCGATTCAAGAGTGAATTACTTGCTTATTGTTATGATCTGTATAGAATTCGCTTATGTTTCTCACTCAAAAACTTGATTGTATAGATGAACAAAAGCTAAGATGATCTCAAATTGACAAGCGTATAATCGCTGAAACAATTAGAAACAACCACCGAGAAAAATGCAGGCAAGCAAACTTCAAATTATTCAGGTAGAAAGCACAAATTGCATATCTAGTTACATTCATTTGCAAATCAAATCAGATTAACTCAAGTATTATAAATCGGATTGATCTAAATCAAATCAACAAGAAGACCGATCTATTCGAAACAAGTAACGGAGGAGAAAACGACTTACAGATAGGAGACAAAAGGTGGATCCAGGACTTAGAACCCCAATCGCCAACATCGTGAGTGTAAGAAGTCGCAATCGTCGGCATAGGCGTGTGTGAGCGTAAGGAGTCGCCGACACTGCGAGGATGAAACTTGATTAATTTTGTGGAGTTCTCCCATAAAAGCCCTAGCTGGTTGATGGAGGCGTTGATTGTTGATGATCAAGGGCCGGTAGGGTTTCATTGATTTCGAGTATGGTAGTACCAGGTGGGGGAGGATAAGATAGCTTTAAAGAAGGTCACAAATTTGGAGCAAGGAAGAAGGAAGACATCGTTGCGAATTAACGGTGGTTGTGTCTAGGGTTAGATTGAAGGAGGAGGGAGAAAATGGCTCTCTGTACGATTTTATGAGAGATAAGGGAGATTACTTCAAAACTTTAGAATTTTCTAATTTTAGAGGATCCCTCTTTAAAAACGTGCGTTTAAATGAAAAAAATATAAAGCGACATTTGTAGACGACGCCCATTCAATTTAGGTGCCCTCCGTGTTTGTAAATTTTTTTTGTGGGACAATAATTTTAGGGCACGCACAAATGCGTGTCTTCTATCCTTCAAATTTTGGAAGGCTGACATTATTTTTAAGAACACATCAAAATGCGTATCGTAAATTAGTGAGTGTCATTGTTCGCGCGTCATTAAAGGGTTTTTTCTTGTAGTGGCGTCACCGCTTACCCTATCAATGTTTAATAGTTGCATGTGATAAGTAACTAGTATGATCATATACTGTTGAAAGATTTAGAATAGTTTGTAATAGTACTTTTGTACTTCATTTTATGTTTGTATAAATTACCATATCCTGGGTAGTTATGTAATATATATAACACTTTGTAATAGTCGGTTTGTATCTAGTAATTTGTAATCTCTTTATCAATGTAAAATATTGCTTTTATGAATATTCAAGTAGCATGTTTTGGAGTAATAATATTGTGAAGTATGAAAGTTTGGGTCTTTCAAAAATACGAAAGTTGGGGTCTTTCACAGAGCCAAGCGTTATCTTTAGCAGGGATGTTCCGCGTTTGTAGCATATATGATGGATACTCGGGAGACAGGTGATATGACCAAAGATGATGTACTGATTGTTCGGTAGCACCCAAATTTATCGCAGAGTAGTTCACCATGGGGAGTGCCAATCTTATTAGTGAAGAAAAAGGATGGGACGCATCGGATGTGTATTGACTACCAGGAGTTGAATAAGCTAATGGTGAAGAACCGTTACCCGCTTCCAATGATCGATGATTTATTTCATCAACTTTAGGGCGCATCTTGGTTCTCTAAGATTGATTTGTGTTCGGTCTATCACCAGAT